CTGTTAATGTAGAAAACAATAAAGGAAAACGGATCTTATCGCATTCGCGTACACGATTTACTCGACAGAATCAAATCGTGTCATAAAACGGAAAGTAATTCTTACGTTATCGTGTTCCATGTGACAGAGAAGTTTGATTTCCCTTAGGGTCCTCTTTGCGTCGATTTTGTTGTCGAATGCATTTCCGATCTTCTTAATCGCAACTTCTTCACGTGTCACCGAGTTCACAGCAGCACTGGACGACCAACATAAAAAAATTTCGGAGAGCAAGGGTAAAAGAGTAAATTAAACAATATCGATCATCTTGTCCAACATAAAAATATAACATAACCACCAAATTAAAAAAAAAAAAATCATATTTTAAAGTTTAAACCCCCTCTTCATTCGATCCCACAAGTTTCGATTTTTTTTAACGCAGGCAACACAAGGTCAACTAACTGTAATCAACTTCAAATATAACATAACCACCAAATTCAAAAAATTCAGATTCTAAACCCCCTCTTCATTCGATCCCACAAGTTTCGATTTTTTTTAACGCAGTCAACACATGGTCAACTAAACCGTAAACAACTTCAAATATAACATAACCACCAAATTCAGTTTCTAAAACCCATCTTCATTCGATCCCACAAGTTTCGATTTTTTTAACGCAGTCAACACAACGTCAACTAACTGCAAACAACTTCAAATATAACATAAACACCAAACATAATCCAGATTCTAATCCCTCGATCACATAAATTTCGATTTTTTTACGCAGTCAACGCAAGGTCAACTAACTGTAAAACAACTTCAAATATAACATAACCACCAAATTCAAATTCTAAACCCCCTCTTCATTCGATCCCACAAGTTTCGATTTTTTTTTTCGCAGACAACACAAGGTCAAATAAACCGTAAACAACTTCAAATAAAACAAGCAAGTATCAGAATTGAAATCAAGAATGTACAGAAAACAAAATCTTGATTAATAAATTAATTAATTATTACCAAACAATGCCGTAAGCTCCACGACCAACGGGCCTAAGAGGAATATACTTTTTCGAAACCTCGAAAAGATTTCCGTACACATTGTACTGAACGTATCTCCCGCCATGAGTGGGAACCCCTTTGATACTATTTCCGCCATGATCGCCTGAACCAGAGCTCGATTCCAAAGACATACCCAACAAAAATTAAATCTTTTTTTGAAAAAAATAAAAATTGATTCTTTTATAAGCCAAGAAATAGCAAAAAAATAAAATTGAAGAACCCAGTTCAGAAAAAAAAGATTGAATTAGTTGGGGAAATTTAATGGGGGTGGTGAATAAATGACTTTATTTAAAAAAGGGAAATGAATTTAGAGAGAGAAAGTGGAGTTTACGTGTGATCTTTTGAAGTGGAGATTACCCGTGAAGAAATTTGACTTTTGGTGTATGAATCTTCAACCACGCACAGGTTTGACTGTGTACCACAATTACATTTTTTTTTTATTTTTTGTCCTAATTATAATTCTCTGGTTTTGTTTTTTTTTTTTTTTTGGAAACGTTCAATTCGGTTCTACTGTAAAAAAATGGTCAACGATGGGTCAAACAAAGGCTACCCCATGGGTTGAAATTGAAACTAAATTTTCAGTTTCCCCCATTCCGATTTCTGATTTTGAAACAATTTTCTTTTTCAATTCGAATTCCAAAATTTCGATTTGGGA